ACAGATGCCACTTAGCATAATGAAACAGCGCTCACTTTGGATAGCAAGTTGCAGATTTAAAGGTCCCTAATGAAAATACCATCAAATAAAGAAATTTGAGACAATCAGCCTGTGAGTGGATGTTTCTATACAACAGAGGCAAAATCCATCAGACAAATTATTGATTACCAGTTATTCAGTCAGCTTTACCAGGAGATAAATCAGATGCCACTTAGCATAATGAAACAGCGCTCACTTTGGATAGCAAGTTGCAGATTTAAAGGTCCCTAATGAAAATACCATCAAATAAAGAAATTTGAGACAATCAGCCTGTGAGTGGATGTTTCTATACAACAGAGGCAAAATCCATCAGACAAATTATTGATTACCAGTTATTCAGTCAGCTTTACCAGGAGATAAATCTCAGTTACTGAAGCTTCGTATTGCTCAGTTCTCTATCCTTGGTACTACTGCTTCTTAACCCTTGTCTCACTCTCAGATCCTTAAGGCAATTTCTCCTCAACCACAGTTACGCTTTAAAATAAAAGCTGCTATTATTTTTTTACTTATTTGTATTACAATGATGTTTAGACGTCCCATCTATGATCAGAGGCCATGGTGTGAGGTGCTGTATGTGCACAGAGTAAGAGACAGACCCTGCCCTGAGGAGCTTAGTCATAACAGACAAAACAGATACAATGATTTATTCCTGTTTTGCAGATATCTACCCAAAGAACAGAGAGGGGAAATGACTTGCCTCAGGTCACACACGAAACCCGAAGGAGCTGGGAATAGAATAACATCTGCTGAAGTCCAATCCCTATGCAACAATACCATGCTTCCTTTGAAATGGCGTAATTCCCTGCCCCTGGCCAAACAAAAAAATCTAATGCATTGATCACTACTTCCTCCTCACAGAGACCTGTTATCTCATTACTTTAATATAGGACAATGCAACTTTCTTTCTGTGACATCTTCCCATAAAAGCTCTATCCCCCTCCAGAAATACTGAGCAGAGGTAAGGAATGAAAAATAGGGGGGGGGGGCGGGAGGGAGGAGTGAAGGGGCTGAGGCAAAAGAGAGAAGAGTGGTTTTCAGCAGAGATTTGAAATGAAACAGACTCGATGAAGTGAAGAGATACAGGGAAGCTGTTTCACAGCCCTTTCAGACAGGCACAAGCACACAACTCTGGGGCATGGGGAGCCAAGACAAAAGGGCAAAGAGGCACTGAAAACAAGACCCCCAGGCACTGGGAATGAGCGTGAGTTCTGTTATCTACACCTTCTTCCATCCAATGGGAGCAAAGGTTTTAAATGAGAGGAGCATCGCGTGCTCAGCAAACACCAGCTGCCTTTCAAAAGCTTTTCAATATGCCGTTCTGCTCTCTTCCTACAGCTGCCTGGCTACACAGGCCTGAGAGAAATGAGTGTGCCAGGTAGATGATGACTGGAGGAGAGCAAAGTTCACCCCAAGTGCACCCCCCTGCTAATTAGAACCAGCCTCACACCCTCCAGCAGCAAATGCCAGCTCCTTGCCTGTACATCATTTGTGTGCTTGTTAGCATCTCATTTTGAAATCTTAGTGGTGCTTCAGAAGCTCCTTGCCTGAGCAGTGAGGGCTGTGAACAGAGCAACGCAGGCAAGAGACAATGTCAGTCACTGGTCTCAGGTGGTCTGCCATTTTTGTTAGTGAGCTTTTGCTACTTTTCAGACTCTGTAATTGAGCTCATAATGCCCTAATTAATTATTATTAGGAGTACACGGCAAACTAATTGAATATTCTGCTGTAGACACTTAAGAGCTACATCTGATTTCATTGCCTATTGGTGTTTCTGAGGGGAAAATAAATCAGTTTTCCCACCAGATTGCAATGTACTGTTACAGGAGACTAAGCAATGGAGCAGTGTGGATCAGCCAAGCTCATAATTAATAACAACTCTTGGGTTACCTGTCTAGCTCAAGATGCTATTGTAAGGGTGCTCCTGCTGGCTACTGAATAATGCCAAGTCCCAGTGGCTGACAGTACTGTCATAGCCAAGTCATTGCAGCTGTTAGCCCTAAACATCTAACACAACTATAGGAAAGTGAGTTGGATCCCATTGTTACCACTGAATCCTTGACCAGATTGTGAGTTCTGTATTGCCTACAGTTTCCTTTACTGCTGGTGATGCTGTTAGAGGCTTGGTAATCATATCCCAGGTAGAGTTTGCAGGGCCACTAATTAAAGTTTAAAAAGTCATATTTTTCTTGTAAAAACTGAGCAAGTTGCATCTGGAAACAAGGGGGGGGTGGGATTTAAACAAAGAATCCCACATCATTTAAATAATTTTCAGGATGTAGCTGTGAGTGGAACCATACCTGCATACATTCAGATGTTGTGGGTTGTCTATGAAGAGCAAGTGCTGGCCCTTTAGCACTGATAGCAGAAGTCCTCCCTCTCAGAGGTAGTGCCTTTATCTGTGAGCAACCAGAAGGTTGTAACTCTTGCTGAGGATAGTCCTTAGAGAGTGACAGTCACATTTCACAGTGATTTATTTCTGATGGTCTCCATGAGGTGCTGGTGTTGTCTCAGTTGAAATCACAGTGCAATGAAAGTAGTTTAGCACCTTTCATCTGAAGATCTCAAAGTCATCCACAAACAGCTCTTCTGAGTCTGTGTAGCTTTCCTTTACTTTAAAGAATCACTCTGCTGGACTGAGTGGAGTTACTCCAAGTTTCACAAACTACCGCAATCTGCATTTGTCTGGGTGCCTTTTGCATTGTTTGCAAATGCATGTCTTCTCTGTGACCATATGGCTGTTGGAATGCCTGCCAAAAGCACTGTGTGGATATTAGCGTATCTCTCATTCTGCAGACAGAATGTAAATCTATCCATGACTATACTAAGAGTAATGATATGCCATGGTCTATGACTGGAAAACCCGGTTGGAAAGGCATTAATACCATTTTAGGTGGCTAGATAGCAGCCGCAGTATAGAACAGCATCCCGGTTTATTTCTGGTATTTCCAGATTGTGACCAGCAGATGTGCAAAGCAGGAGGAAAGGCAAGGGGAAGGAACTTCCCTCTTTACATCCTCTGTGGAAGAGAAAACCCAAGTGGCGATCAGAATCACCAGGCAGAATCGAACCCGGAACCTCTGGAGCTTAATGCATGAGCACCTACCATCTATACTAAAAATCAGCTGCTCATTCGCTAAGGCTGTAGAGTAGGCTAACTATTCTCTATGTAAGTGGTCTCAGTGCCAACAGATGGGACAGTATACCACAGCCAGAAGATGTGTGGGTTACACAAGAACTGCCCCAGGTAGCATTACTGGCCTCCCGAAAAGGGGCAGGAGGGCAGAGAAGGACAAGCATGGTCCTGCGTCTCCCACCCCACCAGTTGGCTGGCTATTGACAGGAGGCTCTCACCGCATGTCACTCTCTCTCATATGAGCTCCCACTTGGACACTGTGGCTATGACTAAACTACATTTCTCTTCCGAAAGAGGAATGTAAATGAGCCCGATCGAAAATGCAAATGAAGCATGGATTTACAAATCTTACGCTTCATTTGCATAATCGCGTGAGAGCACTTTTTCGAAAAAGGATTTTTTAAAAGAAACCACAGGCTAGACAGGGTTCTTTCCAAAAAAAAAAAAAAAAATCCCTGCCTTTTTTTAAAGAACTCGTACACCTCTTTTTCACGAGTATTGGTTCTTTCAAAAAAGGGGTTATTTTTCAAAAGATCACCATCTAGACTGTGGTTTCTTTTTCAAAACCCCTTTTTCGAAAAGTGCTCTCATGCGATTATGCAAATGACGTGTGAGATTTGTAAATCCATGCTTCATTTGCATTTTCGATCGGGCTCATTTACATTCCTCTTTCGGAAGAGAAATGTAGTTTAGTCATAGCCACAGTGTCCAAGTGGGAGCTCATATGAGAGAGAGTGACATGCGGTGAGAGCCTCCTGTCAATAGCCAGCCAACTGGTGGGGTGGGACACATTACAATGCCCCCAACACAGGGCCATGTGTCTGGAAAGCACACTAGAGCCTACTCTCAAGAGAATCTTTGGCAAACAGTTGCTCTTGTTTTTCCACCATTTTTGTTGCCCCCTGAGCTAGGGATGTTAAAACGTTTAATCATTTTAACTCAAGGCCTGCTGCCCCCCCCACCACCTGGCCTAGCCGTGGCCCTCAGCAGCCAGGGCTGCTACAGTCCAGCACAGCTGGCTGCCGCCAGAGTTCACCAACAACGGCTGGTAAACTGTTTAACATCCCTATCCTGAGCCTCTGAGCTTCTCCACCAGGAGAGGCTGCTGCTAGAAGTGGCCGCATAGTGTATCCATGTGCATGAGTGAGGGTGAAAGGGCATAGCAAGGGCACCCATAGATAAGCTGGAATTAATACAAGTACCTGTGCAGGGGAAGGGTGACTTTGGTGGAGATGGGTGTGTCAGAGCATGGAGGCGGGATTATGTGCCCCAGAGGGGTGGTGTGATACAGAAGGGTGTATTTAGGGGAGAGAAAAGGGTGGTAAACATCTGTGGGGTGGATGTGATAAGGAACGTGGGGGAGGTGAGAAAGGTGGTGTGAAGGATGGGATAGGTGATTGTGAATAAGATAGACATTTGTAGGGGACAGGAGAGTGTAAGGTGTGTGCATGTGGGCAGAATGGTAAAAGTGAGGGAGAGCTCAGTGTTAGAGTGAGGGGACTGTAGGAGAGGGAGGCTATATGTGCAAAGGGGTGGGTTTGAGAGAGTGGGGAGAATATAGGTGAGTGGGGGTGTGAAAGGTATTGCAAGTTGCCCATATAAGGATTAGCAGTGTGTTTCTGCATTACCTGAGATAACAAAATGTGCTTTGAAGCCCTATGCAATGATCTCTCCCTTCAATGGGAACTGAAAGGTTTGGAGAAATAAAAGGCAAGAAGAGAATCTGGCAAGGGAAGGCATAATGCTCAGGGATTTGACAAAGCTTGAAAGGAAGCGCAGGCTTAACAATGGGTATTAATCAGACAAGGGTCAAGCCCTGTTGCAGATGGCGTTCCAAGCCAAGCTGAAATGGTTAGCACTCCGCCATGAGCAGCTGGTCTCTGACAGAGAAGGAGAATGTAATATGATCCTGTTTAGCCTAGCTTCCAAAGCAAAGGAGTCATTCATGAATTGGAGACAGGGCTGAAACCAGGCCAGCATTGGCAGGCAGCGGGGTATTTTCTGTCTTTCGCGCCTATGGTCCTATGGATCTATTATTTCATTCATCCCGCATAACACGTGTCATCCTCTACAGAGAATGATGTTGCTTTCTTGGAACTTCTATAGCCTCTATTTTATTTAGGTGGATTTTAAAAAAGTGTAGGGAGTGGAGAGGCTCCCTCTATTTTATAGTTATAGTCACATGGGAAGCCTGACTTTTTTTTTTTCAGGCTTAGGTGCCGATATTTGGTGTCCACATCCCACGTGGAATCCCCATCTGGAAAGATGGTCTGGGATTTGGGTACTACGGGCTGATATCTTAGCTTGTAGGATCTCTTCACATCACTCCAAATTTATATTGATGTGAGACTAGAAAATGACTAGTCTCAGTGAAGGAAGCCTTATAGTAGGAAGGCAGAGAGACTTCCCATTCTTCCATGCTCTTTCACAAAGACCTTGCATGACTCTCTTGGCCCATTAGCAAAGATTGCTTGGGTGCCCCTTGCTAGGCAGTCTGAGGAGCTAGCTGCCTATTCCAAAGACCTCAAAATCCCAACGTGCTCTTCTGGATG